GGACTGTAACAGCTCAGTCAGTAGTATTTGCCCAGCATGCATAGAGTTCCATCCACAGGTTGTGGTGACACATACCTGTAGCCTCAGTACTCTAGCGGTGGAGGCAAGAGGATACATAATGAGTTCAAGGCCAGCCTGGACTACATGATGGTTTCAAAAAAATTCTTAAGGCACAAATTTGTAGGGGCCTGTTGGGATGGTGGCAATGTGTTTCCTCATTTGGGCATGTCCGCTCCCTGATTCCCAGGCCCTGTGACTCAAGGCTGAATTACAACTCCAGATTTGTGGAAATAAGCAGTCACAGAGAGGGCGCTTCTAAAGCCTTCTGAAATTTCTGAAGAGAGAATAAGCATGACTTAGCTAAAACAGAAGCTTTTAAAAATGAGATTATCCAGAAAGTCAACCGAGTAAGTCTAAGTACCATAATCTGTGAGATATGACTGTGGGTTCGGAGATTGTGAGAACGTCACTATCAGAAAGACACAGACTCAATGAGAAAATAGAATGAGTGTGTTACCATTCCCTGCAATGTTACAAGCAGAAAACAGATTGGTAAAACTACCATGGTATCAATTTACGCTAGGATTCAGGGAATAAAGAGTTGTTGATGGTGAATTCTGAGTCAAACATTTATAAGGATGGTATTTCATAAAATTACAAAATGACTTTGTAGGGCACATACCATGGGGTCCATAATCATCAGGTCACTGTGACATCTTCCTAGCCTCTACTTGGGCAGGAATCCAAGACTTACAATCACAGTTGTGACCCACTGAAGCAAACTCCTTATACTGAGCATGGAATTTTCTTTTTTCAAAATATTTTTTGTGTGTGAATGTAATGCCTGTATGAATGTATGTAAGTGTACCTGTGTTGTGCAATGCCCAAAGAGGTTATTAGAGGGTATCAAATCCCCTGGAACTGGAGTTACGGACAGTTGTTAGCCTCCATGTGGGTGCTAGGAATCGAACCTGGGTCCTCTGCAAGAACAGCCAGTATTCTTAACCACTGAGCCATCTCCCTAGCCCCTGACCATGGAATTCTCTGCATCAACACTGCAACCTCCTTGTGGTAACCTCAGCAAGGAACCTCAATAATCAAGCAGACAGTATGACCCATTTTGTGGATAACCACCTTTTTCCAAAGCCACTTCTATTTCTTACAATATATTCTCATTCTAATTCTATAATCTATCTGTATTGGTAAACTGTAAAGTTCACCAAGAATAATTCAGGATTAGAAAGGCTATAATAGAATTTTTTAAATGTCAACGTTTCAAAATAAAAAAAATTTAAAAAAAAGGATAAAATACCAAACATTAAATGGTCAAATTTGTTTGATATCTAAAACCTCAAAAGCTTTAAAACACTGTCCAAAAACAGCCTCTCAAAGTCAGTAGTTCAGCCGGAAAACTCTTCTGGCTTCATAGGAAGCATTCTTCCTCCCCAGCTCTTCCCTTACACTGGTCACATTGCAGCTCCCATGTTTCTTGCTGTGATCTTCCTTGTGGTTTCCCTAACAAAGATCTACCTGGAAGACAAGCTTACTCTTTGCATAACTGCAGGCCTACCTAAATTAGTTGAAGTTTCCTGGCTCTTGTGGTAGATTCAGTCAAATCTGGTGGTGTCACATGTACACTCTTCCTAACATGGAACAATGGCTCTAAATTTCACTTTCATTTACATCAAAACATGTATTCTAGAAATTACATCTTTGTATAAAAAATGAACGGCACAGTACGCCATTGTGTGAGTGAACTCTTTTACCTACCCAATTCCAAATTCATGGGCATTTTTTCAACCTCCGATAATGTGGCAAATGTCTTGTCTGGAGGTCGTTTTTTTCCACTGTACTTTGTGGGGGCGGGGAGCACAGGCAAAGGACAATATAACTTCTGAAGGTGTTACTAAATTCCCCGAAGACCAGCCATTTCATTTTGCTACAGGACTAAATTGTTCCCGTTTCACTGGCGTAAACAGTTAAACACTGAAGATTTCAATAATGGCGTATTCTGATGGGTGAGTTGGCACAATTTGAATCTCTCTTGTAAGGTTGGTCAGCTTACATGTGTAAGATCACTTTCCATGCTGTGTGAACTATCTCTTTTAATGACTTTTTTTTTTTTTTCTGTTTGGATCTTTTGAAAAACAAGAGTCCTTCATATACTCTAACTTCATTATTGTACTTTCTTCTCAGGATGGTTTGGTTTAAAGGTGTATTTTTAAATTATGTGTAGATATGTGTAGGTGTCTGTGTGTGGGAATGTGTGAGTTTAGGAGCCTGAGGGGTACTCCAAAGGGAGCTGGAGTTGCAGGCAGTTGGGAGTCTGAGAAATCAAAGTGCTGGGAACTGAACTTGGGTCTTCAGCAAAACCAAGCATTCTTGACCCCCAAGCCCTCTCTCCTCTGTCCTGAATTTCTGTTTAGCTTAAAATATTAACTTTTCTGTATTAAGTCCCATAGACAATCCACTAAGCTATTCACTGCATTTAAACATAATAGGCTAAGAAAATTCACATCTTTCCATCTGTCCTAGTTTGCTTCTCCATTGCTGTGACAAAACACTCTGACCACTACCAACTTGGGGAGGAAAGGGTTTCTCACATCTCCCAGGTCACAGTTCATCAGGGAGTCCAAGGTAGGAACTCAGGGCAGGAACATCGAGGAGGGAGCTGGAGCACAGGCCATGGAGTAACGCAGCTCACTTTCTCCCCTGGCCCCTGCTCAGCCTGCTTTCTTATGCCACACAGGCCCACCTGCCCAGGGGTGGAACCACCCACGGTGGGCTGTGCCCTTCCACATCACTCAACAGTCAAGAAGGTGCCCCATGGACATGGCCACAGGCCAGTCCAATGAAGGCAATTCTCCAACTGAGGCTCCCTCGACCTGGGTGTGTCATGTTGACACTAAAGCTGTCCAGTGCACCATCGTTAAGTCTATTAAACATTAGCACTTCCTTTTTTCCTCTCAGTGAAGACTTTTCACTAATCCTGTTACCTGCGGATATTCAATTCCATGTTTTCCCTCAATTTTAGGAAACGTGGGGCTGTCTCCAAATCCTGCTTTCACTGCCTCTCCTTGCTTTCTCTTCTCCAATATAGGACAACATATAGCAATTTTAACAAGCTTCACACAGCTCCTGGCAGGTCTCCAGGCTGGTTTCTCAGGTCCAAAGGATCACTAGCAGCTGTGCTGCTTTTACTTGCAGTCCAACCTAGTCCTTTTTTCAAACCAAGCCTCTATATTTTATTCAAAACACACAGTGCTGGCCTACTATCCAGCACAAGTGCTTTATTTTTGTGTGTGCTTGTGTTTTATATGTCCTGCATACAAGTGTACATGTAGAGCCCCGAACATAGGGAGTCTTTCTCTTTCATTCAATATCCAACACAAAAAAAAGAAAAAGAGAAAAAGATGTGTTTGATGCTTCATTTAGAAGAATGCCCAATTTGAATGCAGTTTCTTAGTCAGTTATGCTGCCAAAAGTCCTTTGTTAGAACTCTGCTTAGCAACAGCGGCAGAATATTACCAACCTCTGGAAACTCGATGACAAATTACATCTTTCTCCTTTAAACTGTCAACATACATCCTATCAACAAGTATCCTAATATCAAACCACCCTCGCTTTCTTGGAAAAACATTATCCAGTGTCCTAAAAGTCTTAAAGCAGTGAGGTTGGAGATGGCTCCATGGTTAAGAGCACTGGCTGCTCTTGCAGAGGACACAGGTTCAGTTCCCAGCACCCCTGTGGCACTTCACAATAATCTGTAACTTCAGGAGATCTGATGGCCTCTTCTCACCCCTATAGGCATGGCAGGTATATACATGCAAGGCAAAACACTCATACACATAAAAGTAAATAAAATTCTTTTTTAAAAAATATAGAATCTTTAAAGCAACTGAAAAACCTCTTATATAAAACATATGTGACACTTTAGTAGAGAAACATTTGCCCATATTCAATAACCTTGCATGACACAGCATCTTAACATATAGTATACAGACGGGATGCTGTTATCACACAAAGTGGGAAGGGACTGTGACACAGCATTCCTATGACTTTAAGAATATGCTTGGTGAGTTAAGCTGAACCTTGAGAGTTAAGCTGGAGAGTCTTGTGTCTCGCGAGAAAGTTTATGCAAGCATGCTTGCTGGGAAGATATCTCCTGAATGCCGGGTCCCCCTCTAGCGTCTCCTGGAACACACTGACCTTCTAAGTAGACATGAGTGGAGACCATGTGGCTGGGCTCATCTTATTTTGCTGAGTTCTTATATTCCAGACATACTATTATTATTCCATGTTCTGTAGACTTGTGACTGTGATTCTCACAAGGATGAGAGCAATGCCGAGCTGCTGATGTGATCAGCACTCAGGTGCATGGAAGCCTGGGTGCCTGGTTTATTTTCAGTTCCGTGGTAATCCACTGGCTGCGCCTGGTGGCCACAAATGGGGTATACCAAAGCTGTACAGCAGACGGTTAATGATAAAACTCACATGTATTCTCTTTATAATTGATTAACTACTTGCTGGTTTTCGCCAGGTGTATCCATTAGCTTTCCAACTTTTAACTTTTGCTACTTTTTTCTCTCCGGAAACCTCATCCTTTGGGAGGACAGGAAATGACACCTCTACCTCCAATAAAATAGTAAAGGTCTACGTGTTTTCTTCTAGAAGAAAATGCTCACATACACATAAAATTTTCCACAAAACAAGATTTAAACCAATCAGTGGAGTTCAGCTTAAGCCCCACCCTACAGACAGGTCAGTATACAAAACACTCAAAATCAGCAATGAAGGCATAAACCCATGAGTAAGCTAAGTGAAAACAGACAAGACAGATGAGGTTCACCTGTCCATGAAAATTTGTCTGCAGGAATTTTGACAAGACACAGAAGAGACTTGGGTTTTCAGTTATTTATTTACAAACATCTTGCTAATGTAACTGCTTTTAAAACAGCAAAAATAGGTCATTTACTAATCTTTCAAGTGGTACTACATGGAAAAAACCCCTATAGTCAGTTAAACTATTAAAGCAGTTACTCCCTTAAACGTGTAGGAGATAAAAATATACTTATTCACAGGAACTCCAACATTCTCTACTTCTGACTATAAGAAACACTACAGTGAAAGATAATGTCAGTTTGGAAAATATTTTACAATAAACTTCCAATTTTACATTTAATTACATGACCATAATACAAAGTTGATCACACTGTCTGCACCGCACAGATCAGTTGAAGTGATGGCAAGTTTGGAACTATTGCATGAAGAATATACGCAATCTTCACCAGCTTCCCATGGTGCTATCCTTTGAAATAAAACCCAATACGCTATCAGACTAAGTCAGGATTTGCTAAGTGGCTAAAACAAAAAATTGTCTCTGAAATAGCTATAAAGTTTATACCAATACGTGCCTTTGCAACATATACACACTGTTTTGTAATCTTTCTGTCCTTATCTCAATTTGCAAAGATAGTTCCAAATGATCTTAATCATTGTACTCTAACATTAATAAAGGTGTATCTTCTAAAAATCCACATGCTAGATCTTGAAAATATTTGAAAAGACACTACAAAAAGCAGTTAAATACATCAACCAATGCACGTGAATAAAAGCCTACAACTTAATCAGAGGTTTTCTAGTATCATTTAGTCTTTGCACAAATTGAGATACACAAATACATACGTTCAAAAACTCATCAAAGATACTATACAAATAGACAGTATTTTGCACCCACCCAGTGCAAATAGTTTATTTACTGTTTGGGGGGTTACAACGCTACTGATCACCATGAATAACTTAAGTTATTGGTCTTTAAATGAGGGAGTCAAACAAAGATAAATTACACCAAAATCAATACATTTTTTACATGGATTACCTTGAAAAATATAAGAGGTAAACTTAGTCTTTCAGGAAGAAAATAAACGGCATTGGTTAGTGTTACTTTTCTTCTTTCCAACTTCTCAAGTGCTAATTAAAAAGTACCATGAAGTCAGTTCTTATTAGAGTATGAGGTTCCGTAAGATTGGTTTTAAAGTTTCATATCAAATGAGTTGTAGATCTACTTAATGTATGACTTCTCCTTTCAAAGAAAGAAGGCAGGCTGACAAGGGAGGGAGATGAAATGCCCTGTGAAAAAACAAGACAAACACTTGAAATTTTTCTTCCAAAATCCTGTGGCAGAGTTCAGTATTATGCCTACCATTCTCATCCCCACAAATTACCATAACGATTAAGACACCTGACAGTTCCAAACGCTTTAAATAAGAAACTTTAACTCAGAAGTGAAATGAGAATAAAACATCATTAAAACTATTTTAGAATTCTGAAACAAAAGCTAAGTGGATAGACTAGTTAACCAGACGCTTGAGTTACTAACAGCACTACTACCTTTTCAGTGAGATACTGATGGCTCAGGGCTACGGGTTATGAATGAGTTTCGAAGCTGGTAAATAAGTTTGTGAAGTAAAAAGATAAACACAAGTAGTTTCTTTTCAATTATTTTTTTTTGCTGTGTGTGTGTGTGTGTGTGTATGTGTGTGTGTGTGTATGTGGTGTCAAAGCAGTCACATGAAGCTCAAACTTTGAGAAGTTGGTTCTCTCCTTCCAGGGATTGCACTCAGGTTGTTGAGCTTGACAACAAATACCTTGACTGACCCTCTTGTTAATTCTTTTTGTTTTTAAGATCTATTTTTATTTATATGTATGTAAGTTTCTGTGTAAGAGTCACATGTGTGCAGGTGTCTGCAGAGGCCAGAAGAGTCCCCTGGAGCTGCAAAAGAGATTGTGAGCCACATGATGTGGGAATCGCGAACCAAACTCAGGTGCTCTGAAAGAGAAGTGCTCTTAGCTAATGAGCCATCTCTCCAGCCCCCTAGTGACAGTCAATCTTGGTTGTTAACCTGACCCACCTGGGAAGAGAGAACTCCAACCAAAGACTGCCTCCATCAGATTGGCCTGTGGGCATACCTGTGGAGCATTTTCTTGATTGCTAAATGATGCAGGAAGGCCCAGCCAGCCATAGACAACACCATCCCCTAGGCAGGTGGGCCTGGTCTGCATAAAAAAGGCAGCTAAACATGAGCCAGAGTTTGAGCAGTGAGCTCCGCCCTCTGTGGTTTCTGCTTCATGCTCCTGGCCTTGGGTTCCTGGGGAATGAAATAAACCCTCTCCTCCCCTCCCAAGTTGCTTTTGGTCATGGTGTTAATCACAAAAACAGAAAGCAAATTAGAATACTCCTCTTAATTCCTAAAACAAAATTAGGAAGCATAAAAATCACTTAGTGGGAAATAATCTAAAATTAAGCCATATATTCCCAGAGTGCTGCATCCTATGTACAGCCTGTGTGTACATTTACATATCCATGTATTTTAGTCCACAACAGCAGTGCTTAAGTGCTTTAAGGTCAAAGTTAATCATCATCAAAATCTTAAAACTATAACCAAAAAAACATGCAGAAGGTTGTAAAAATCCAAGAGTAGATACATCCAAAATAAGCCACAAGGCTGCTGTGTTCACCCCAATGCACATGGATGGCGTGTGGATGCTTCACCTGGGAAGAGGGAATTTCTTCTATTGGACTGACCTTGTGGCCATGTCTGTGACGTATTTTCTTGATTGTTGAGTGATGTGGGAGGACCCAGCCCATTGTGGGTGGTGTCATACCTGTGTAGGTGGCCTGGGTAGTATAAGGCAGACCAAGGAGATGGAGAGATGGCCCCACAGTTATAAATACTGGCTGTTCTTGAAGAGGACCTGGGTTCAATTCCCAGTACCCACACAGTGGCTAAAAACCACCCATAACTCCAGTTCCAGGGGATCCACACCCTCTTCTGACCTCTGCGGGCATTACACAACTCGAGTACACTTACACACATGCAGGCAAAACACACACACATAAAAAATATAGAAAGAAAAAGAGAAAGAGAAAAAGAGAGGGGAAGGAGGGAGGGAGGAAGAGAGGGGAGGGAGGGAGGAAGAGGGGGTGAGGGAAGGAAGGAAGGAAGGAAGGAAGGAAGGAAGGAAGGAAGGAAGG